AGATCTACCGAGATGCGTATCCTGTCGGTTTGCTGTCCAGGCCAGCCCACTACTGCCTCCAAATGTAATTTACATCTACAATGCTAGGAATCTCCACTTAACAATACACCCCCAAAAAATAAATAAAATAAAATAAAATAAAATAAAATAAAACAAAAAATAAAACCGGAAGTGAACTACATCGTGTCATGTCGACGTGGCTTAACTCTCGCATTTTCACGTATTTCCTCGCCCCTTTACACATTGAACGCTGGGAGTGTTCAATTAGTGCCACTTCTCTTTCGCCAGAAAGCACGTTCGTTTTGGAACCCATCCTTGCTGAGTGATCAGCTACATAAAGGTATTGATGATCCTTCTATCTTGACGTAATGGTAAAACGGGCACACAAAAACTGTCTATAAGCGGACAGGCAGAGAAGAAAAGTTACTTATGCTATCCAGTTTTGTCCCTTACTTAATCTTTCTGTCAACATCACAGCTGATAATATGCCTCTTGAGATCAGCGTTTAGACTTAGAGTTGGATTCTCGTTACACACATAAGGCTCTGTTGCATCATTAGAAAGAAGAACAGATAGGTATTATGAGTGGTATCTTGTAAAATCAACAGCACAATCAATTTTACATTTTGAGAATAATGATCAAAAGCAATAATTTAAACCTTTCAAAGTTCATTTGCTTATCCTTAAATTTCAAGCCAAAGATAAGAACTTGAATGTTGAATATATTAACTTGAACCTTCAAGATTATCAAAACATGGCATGGCGCCAATCAGTTTCAGTCACGTTATGCCTTGAGCCGATACTGTTGTCAGCTGAATTTTGAATTTAAATTAAAATCCCGTAGATTTGTTTCAGTCTTTGTGAATATTATGATGTATAACTCTCATTAGAGGACAGAACTGTTCATACTGTCACAGACATTAAAGCAATGTTATATTTGTTGGTATTTATGCGTGTTTTATCATAATTAATTTATATAGAAGTTAGGTGAAGAAATGGTTCGTTTGTTTGGCTGGTTGGTTGTTGTTTAACACCGCACTCAGCAATATTCCAGTTATAAAGCGACAGTTTTTAAAAAATCGGGTCTGGACAAGAAAATCCAGTGATCAGCACCATTAGCATCGATATACACAATTGGGATACGACGACATGTGTCAACCAAGTCAGTGAGCCTCCCTACTTACCTCGTAGACCTGTTTTGTATTCTAGGAAACAAAATGACCTGACCGACCACTGCATCAGGCATGCGTTAAGTCCCTTATAGAAACTGCCAAGGAATCGATAGCAGATCAAAACATCCTTCCTCATGTTGAGCTAGTGGGAAGGAAGAAATAACAGTGTTCTTTCCTCTTGAATCAACTCTTCCAAAATAGCACAAATCAGCTTTCAATGGAAACTGAGAGTTTTCTGTGAAAGACGTTTGAAGGTCTGTGTAATGAAAACCCAAGGTTGAGAACAGTGATATTCACTCAGCTTCTGCCAGTGTGGCATGGATACCGTGTTACAGACGAATAAGAAACTTTGCAGGGTCTTTCAGTCTGAGAGAAAAAGAAATGTAACAAATTAGCGTTGAGAAAAATATAAATCACATCTAAATAAGCGTATCATTAGGGACAGGTCATGTGTGAATGTAACAACTCACTGTAATAAGTACACGCTTGGAAGTAACCAAAATAGGATGCTTTGATATGTTTGAGAAAAGACGCTGGGAGGCTGTAGTTGACGGCGGCAAATACGTTCATGTCGAAAGAAACAGGGCAAAGAAACCATGGACACAATAACATGTTTCTCAACATCACATTTCACTGAAACCATAATACCTGTTTTATGATATAATGAATGAGGTAAAAAGTCCAAGGTCCTAATACAAAGAAGAAAGTGCATTTCATGAGATAATAGCGTTTGTATTTCGCCGTACTGTGCCATAGGCTCTATATCAAAAGTGTCATTTTACTTTAATGGACGTGTTTTTGGTGTAAGAAGATTAAATTGCCTAGTGTACTGAAATCGTCAAAATGGCTTCGGGGAATATTTTTTCTATTTGTACACTTCTGTAGAGGCCATTTCAAACAAAACGTCATAGACCCAAAAAATATTTCAAGACAAGATAAGACAAGAAGATAAAAATTACAGAATTATATGAGGGAAGAACACCTCTTTATTGGCATTAAGTAGAGACGAACAATATACACACACTTTATGGATAACAATTTCTTTACTTCGTAAGTGCGACGTTTCGATACAGATTCAAGCAAGAATGTAAAAACGTCGCACTCGGGAAATAAAGAAGTTGTTATCCAATAATTTTGTCAATATTGTACTTCCCAGCTTCTAAAATGCCACTCAAAAAAGTTGATCTTGAATGCTCATCATCATCATCATCTTGCCGTGGAGCGATGAACATACTTCCTGTATAAAGTGACGTTTACCATTTTGCTGAAAGCAACAAATACGGAGTGGGTCCTGACATTCCTGGAAACGTATTCGATGGGAGCCGGAATCCAGACCCACGATCATAGGTTTGATCAATCGTGCCTAAGGGAGGCTACTCTGCACAGCGAGTCGTGGCGCATTGAACCAGCCGTGCTCAAGGTTGCCATTGAAAACCACCAGGGAGTAAGGTCCTACTTGTGTGTTGGTCAGAAGGACGCAACACCTCACCACTGACATCCACTGTTCTAATGTCCAGTCTTTCACCAGCGCCAGTCACCACTGAAGTGGCACGCGAACCAATAGAAACGTCTCATTACAGCTGTTACGGAAAGCGATCAAGCAGCCTCATCATCCCGTTCATCTTGTGGAGCGATGAACCATATCTCCAGTGCTAAAACTAATTAGACTCAGCAGTGGACCACCGCGACGGGAATATTCACTCCTTCTACTGGAACAAGGGAGGCGTTGACAACGATGGCCTTCACTGCTGCAAAACACCACACGCCATCTCTTGACACTTACAGCCTGTTCCCAGTTCCCTGGACACGGCATAAGCAGTCCATATGTGTAGAAATTGTTGTAATATGGGATGCAGTCACCACTCTAAATAAGAGCTAAGTTAACGCGGATGTAATATTGATAGAAACATTACACCTTTAAATTGAAAAGGGGCCCAGTTAAATTGTCTGGGACGTCTTGGGGCAATGGTAGTTTCCCTTCTGCCAGTGTTGGTAAAAGCATCAGTTCAGAAGTCCTAATTGACTGCACTGCTTGTTTCCCTGCCTGGTGCTATGCAGTAAGGGTAAGCTCGGAGGTAGTATTGTGTGTGAATGGGGTATCCAAATAAGCTGCGGCATGGCATCTCTGTGGCAACCTTGAGTGTGACCAACTAACACCCCCAACAAAAAAAGGGGAAAGAAAAAGGGTACAATATTAAAGAAATTATCATTTATCTATGAATAAAATATGAAATGTAGCTGGAAAATAAATCTTGATCTAAACAATATTTCAGATATTTTATGATCACGGAACCATATATTGCCACGTTATAATATAGTATAGCATGTGAGCTGATTATAACTTCCTCGTGCCTTGAAAGTCCTTCGTCAAGGCTCTTGACTATGAATTTTGTTCAGTTCAGGGGAGACAATTTATGCTAGTTGCTTATAGGTTCGTCTACTGTTTCACGTTAAATTCCGATTCGCAGGGTACCTGTGTAAAACACTGAATGGTAGATGGGGTAGGCTAGTTGTTGAAGTGTTCCGTGTTTAATTCCCCTCGTGGGTAAAATCTTTGAAGCCCATTTCTGGTGTCCCCCGCTGTGATATTGCTAGAAAATTGTTTAAGGCGGCATAAAATCGTACTCACTCGAAAAGTTTATCGAATGATTTGTGATTATTACCTGAGAGTGGCAGCACTGTGATGGACCATGGACACATGAACACTGCCTTTCGCGATAATGTTTCATCAGTTACTCGCTTACAGCTTGTGACCGTAGAATGAAGTGATCGTAAAATCTGTAGGTTTTTTTTTTTAACTAGGATAAACTCCCTGTGTGTCTCTTTCACTTCCTTTCTCACCTGCCCTCCACAAACTTCAGGTATTATAGAGGGATGACTCCGAGTTACAGGTGTGAAATATTTCATTATTAACTTTCTCCATCCTGTGATGGATTTAAATAAAATGTATCACATCTTTGCATTTTAGTAAAATATATTTAGTCATTGTAAATGAGATTAAGTCTCAAAATATTTGTCATCTTGTTAACACATTTTGTTAACAGTTTACACATCAACCATATACAACCGCATACACTGTTCTTAGTTAAATTAAATCAATTATTTTAAAACTGCATGAACAATATCGGAATCATTAATTTAGTTTACAGTTTCCCTCCGATCAGCCGATTTGGAATAACACTCTCTATCGTCCGATCGATGCTCATGATGTTGATCACTGCATTGTCTGATCCAGACTGGATTATTTACACACCGCCGGCATATAGCTGGAATATTGTTGAGTACGCCGTAACTAAACTCACTCACTCACTCGCTCTTTATAGTCCAAGCCTGGTATTTTGACCATTATCCAAGTAACCTCCCAAAACCCCTACAGCCCATAACCCCTACAGCTTATAACAACAAAGTTCATGGTCCAGTGCACTACTAATCCCCTTCCTGTTACCTATTCCATACAATGGACCAGGCCAAACACTTAGAAACTAAGAGAATGATTTTAATGAGCAATAACGAAACTAAGAGTTTGAGAGAATGGTTTTAATGGATGATAACAAAAATATTTTAACAAAAGTTCAATAATATTGAAACGTCATAACATATTAATGGTTATATGTTTTATTTTTCTACATATTATCTGTCAACCTCAAGCAAATTCACGATCTCCATTTTGTTTGGCTCTTTACCTTGGTACCCCCCCAAAAAAACGCAAAATCTGCAATAAATGCATCACAAACTCCAAGAAACCAAATATGCAAGAAACATTTTGTGTGTTTGAGCAGAAGTCCGCTAGAATCGAACTTAGATATCAAAGTGCATAAAAAAGCTAGTAATTTCTTCAAATAAAATGGAAACTTATCAAACATTGGACATCGAGAATATAGTAAGGCTGACTACGTTTTCAACGCCCCTCGCATATACCACCCCAAATCATCTCAAATTATTTATCTCAGTTTACTATCTCCAACACTATTAAACTTTATTATTACGATTTGCAAAATTTGTCTACTCACTATGTACATCAGGAAGCTAAAAAGCTAGTTCAACATTTAATTCATCTCAATTATTTAAAATGAATTATTATAACCCTACCAACAACAACGAAATCTTATTCCCTTCTCATATCTATACTCTGTGCAGCTTAATCTCACACTGCATATACTCCACCCTGTAATCTCTCCTTTGGGTCAGTTCATTATGCCAGACAGGTAAATGCCAGGTGTTGTATTACCTAATTGTAGGGGTACTGGGCTGTAGGTTTGGTTTGGATCTTGGGCAGGATACACCGACCGTAGTGAAAGAGACATCCTCGTAGATGAGAGTTAGGGAAGACAGTCTCGAGTGCTTGGATGGCAGGAAGCTCACAGTCGGTCTGGATGGTAGATGGATCTAGATCGGCACCTGTTACAGTATGGACAACATTCATCAGTTGCTGGAACAGCCTGATGGAGGTCACTCTTTGTCTATTAGGCATTAGGGCAAACGCAACGGGGAACATGGTGGAACCAGATAGACAGTGAACAGCATACAGCTGGTTCCAAAGGCTGGGACAGGAATAGAATTTACCATCCATGAATAGGGTGTCGGCACTCCATCATGTCTTCTGTGGAGGACACCAGGATTCTGTCGTGGACACGATCGTCTATAGCGAGGAATTGACTTCCGTCGTTGGTCTCAGCCCACTGGTCTTCTATGCACACATCAGCCAGGGTCTTCGGGAGTGGAGGAACATTCTTTCGGCGCTGTCGGTAGAGACCAGCATCAATGCTAGCAAAGGAGGATGTTGTGGCAGCTTCATCGACAGTTAAGGTTCGCATCTCATCTTCGAAGATCTGTTGAATAGGTGTGACTTCTTTCCTGGCACGGGTCCTCAAGATACTCATCAGTCGCAGAGTAGTCGGATCTTCTATAACACCATGGTTATGTGGCCATACTCATCAACAGTGCTCAATTTTCCACGGCAGTTTGCAAAGACACACATCCAGTGAGTCACAGTCTGTGTGCGGTTGTTCAGGCGATACCTGAACCCTTCATACAGGACTTACTGACATCCAGCCTGGGAAGTGATAAACACAACTCTCTGGTACAGATCACTAAACTCAGTTTATATACGATGTCCACGTTGTAGGTTTTTGCAGCAAAATATTTGCATTTGAGACGAGATGTTATACATCTCTTTGCCCGATATAGTTTATACCCGGTTAGACTTGATCTTCAGTAACCCATGCATGTAGTAAGAGACGACTAACCAGATCGGGGGGGTCAGGCTCGCTGACTTGGTTCACACATCGTATCCCAGTTGCGTAGATCGATGCTCATGCTGTTGATCACTGGATTGTCTGGTCCAGACTCAATTATTTACACTGCCGCCTCATAGCTGGAATATTGCGGCGTAAAACAACAAACCAAACCAAACCAAGCCGACAGTTTATAATATTAACCCGTTAACTCCCCAGAGGCTTGTACGTTTGTACATCCACGCCAAGTGTTTACAAAACAGATCGTAGTAAGGGTTAAGAGTGGTAACTCATTGCAATATTTCAAACGTCACAATGCATGGTGGATCCGTCATTGCGTAATGGAGATCCTGCAACCAGCTCGTACATTACGTATAAATTCCAATTGACATCAGTGGCACTGAGAGTTTCCTTGTTTTGCAGGTCACGCCGTTCACTTCCCAACCAACATCCAGTCTACAGGGAAATGCTGCAAGTTATCTAAAAACCGCAGGCTGTTTTACCAGCTTGATCACGTGACATGATGCTTGTTTCACGGTAGGGAAGCTCTAATTGTATTGCGCCAGACAATACGAACATAAACAGGAATTATTCAGGTCTTCTGGCAGGGTGTATTTGTTTTATTCGCCCAAACGATATGATAACAACAATCTGGTATTGCTTCAGGAAGAGACCATGCTTCCGATCAGTAAAGGGCGCCCGGGTGGCCAAGATGATAAGGGCGCCGTAATTCGTTAAGTTGATGTGAGGCACTTGGGAACGCCGAAACGTATGCTCCTGGGGTCGAATTTTAGATCTGTTTCAGTGTTTTTCACACTTTGATGATTCCATTTCTGAGTTGATGACACTATGAACAACTGATGATGTTCCGGTCGTCAAGGACGCTGCAGTTTGATGTGTAGAGGGTCGTCACTTTATCTCACCAGAAACATGTAATTGTGGGTTCGAGTCCCGGTTCACTCTTATTGTTTCCTGGTTCCTCAGCACCATAACTGTGCTCGTATGTTTCGCTAGAGTGATAAAAGACTGAGACCTACATCACTTCGGGGTTTTCTCGTTCACCAGACACGCTCGTGTATTACTAGAATACTGTTAAAACAACTGTTTAAACCAAACATAGTTACTTAGAGCAGCCGAATAAGAATGATTCCCCTATGGGTACAATTTGACATCGGTGGGCGTGGTCATCAGTTAAAAACAAAATGATTCTTGTTCTCCTCGGACTTTAAAATTTGTAAACACAATTCATTTAGTTCTAACAAGCCTCGAGTAATGGTAACAAGCCTCGATCTCAAACCAATGTAATGGTAACAAGCCTTCTCAAACCAATGTAATGGTAACAAGCCTCGTCAAACAAACGTAATGGTAACAGGCCTCAAACTAATACACGCCTTGTTCTCACAGTGTAATGGTAACAAGCCTCGATCTCAAACCAATGTAATGGTAACAAGCCTCGCCTTGTTCTCAAACCAGTGTAATGGTAACAAGCCTCGATCTCAAACCAATGCCTCGGTCCTTGTTCAAACCAGTGTAATGGTAACAAGCCTCGATCTCAAAACAGTGTAATGGTAACAAGCCTCGATCTCAAAACAATGTAATGGTAACAAGCCTCGATCTCAAACAAATGTAATGGTAACAAGCCTCGATCTCAAACCAATGTAATGGTAACAAGCCTCGATCTCAAACCAATGTAATGGTAACAAGCCTCGATCTCAAACCAATGTAATGGTAACAAGCCTCGATCTCAAACCAGTGTAATGGTAACAAGCGTCGTTCTCAAACCAATGTAATGTTAACAAGCCTCGATCTCAAACCAATGTAATGGTAACAAGCCTCGTTCACAAACCAGTGTAATGGTAACAAACATTGGTCCCAAACCAGCGTCATGGTAACAAGCATTGGCCCCATACCAGTGTAGTGGTAACAAGCCTCGGTCTGATACCAGTGTAATGGTAACAGGTCTCGGTCCCATACCAGTGTAATGGTAACAAGCCTTGGTCCCAAACCAGCATAATGGTAACAAGCATTGGTCCCATACCAGTGTAATGGTAACAAGTATTGGTCCCATATCAGTGTAATGGTAACATGCCTTGGTCCCAAACCAGCGTAATGGTAACAAGCCTTGGTCCCAAACCAGCATAATGGTAACAAGAATTGGCCCCATACATGTGTAATGGTAACAAGTCTTGGTCCAAAACCAGTGTAATGGCAACAAGTATTGGTCCCATATGAGTGTAATGGTTACATGCCTCGGTCCCATACCAGCGTAATGGTAACAAGTATTGGTCCCATACCAGTGTAATGGTAACAAGCCTTGGTCCCAAACCAGCGTAATGGTAACATGCCTTGGTCCCAAACCAGCGTAATGGTAACAAGCATTGGCCCCATACCAGTGTAATGGTAACAAGTCTTGGTCCCATACCAGTGTAATGGTAACAAGCCTTGGTCCCAAACCAGCGTAATGGTAACATGCCTTGGTCCAAAACCAGCGTAATGGTAACAAGCATTGGCCCCATACCAGTGTAGTGGTAACAAGCCTCGGTCTCATACCAGTGTAATGGTAACAAGTCTCGGTCCCATACCAGTGTAATGGTAACAAGCCTTGGTCCCAAACCAGCGTAATGGTAACAAGGATTGGTCCCATACCAGTGTAATGGTAACAAGCCTTGGTCCCAAACCAGCGTAATGGTAACATGCCGTGGTCCCAAACCAGCATAATGGTAACAAGCATTGGCCCCATATCAGTGTAATGGTAACAAGCCTCGGTCCCATACCAGCGTAATGGTAATAAGTCTTGGTCCCAAACCAGTGTAATGGTAACAAGTATTGGTCCCATATCAGTGTAATGGTAACATGCCTTGGTCCCAAACCAGCGTAATGGTAACAAGCATTGGCTCCATACCAGTGTAATGGTAACAATCCTCGGTCTCATACCAGTGTAATGGTAACAAGTCTCGGTCCCATACCAGTGTAATGGTAACAAACATTGGTCCCATACCAGTGTAATGGTAACAAGTATTGGTCCCATATCAGTTTAATGGTAACAAGCCTTGGTCCCATACCAGCGTAATGGTAACAAGCATTGGTCCCATACCAGTGTAATGGTAACAAGTATTGGTCCCATATCAGTTTAATGGTAACATGCCTTGGTCCCAAACCAGCGTAATGGTAACAAGCATTGGCCCCATACCAGCGTAATGGTAACAAGCCTCGTTCTCAAACCAGTGTAATGGTAACAAGCCTTGGTCCCATACCAGTGTAATGGTAACAAGCCTTGGTCCCAAACCAGTGTAATGGTAACAAGCCTCGGTCCCATACCAGTGTAATGGTAACAAGCCTTGGCCTCATACCAGTGTAATGGTAACAAGCATTGGTCCCAAAAAGTGTAACGGTAACAAGCGTCGGTCTCAGACCCAGTATCATGGTAACAAGGCTGGGTCCCAATCCAGTGTAATGGTAACAACATTCAGTACCATACCAGTGTATTGACAACTATCATCGGTCCCAGCCCAATTTGATAGGTAACCAGCCCAACCCCTACCTGAATCCCAAACAAATGCAATGCAGCAAACCTTGGCCCCAGACCAGTGAAATATTGAAAAAAACCTCCGCCCCGAACCAGCACAGGGTGAACAAGCGTCTGTCCCAGTCTATCTAACAAGTCTTGCCCTTATCTTGTCTGTAGATAACATGTTTCATGGTGTCACACTCGCAGACATGGGACAAGTCTATCCGCCTCCATACAGCCTATGTAATCAGTCATGTCTAAACCGGCTTTAGTTTGTCAAATGTCACAATGAACGATATAATCACAATTACATGACTCTCTTCACGGGAGAGTTGGACATCCAGATGGAGACTGTCGGTGTGATGCCGTGATGTTTGATGACGCCCAGTGTCTATGCCGTTGACGACATCGTCTATGTTTGTAGCCTCACGTAAAGCGATTTTCTCCTAGCTGCCACGGATAATAACTGGTCTATCACTTCATCATATATTGCATCGTTTTTGTGTTCTGCCGGTACCAAGAATGCTGTATCGACCATGCTTGTTCATGTCTATTTCGATTTCCTAATGCTAACTCATTAGGTACTGGGAACTAGGTACCTCCAGGCGGTTAACGACGTCACATTCATCACAAACACAATGGAAAACTCGAAACCCGTACCAGACATCGTTTGTCTCGAACTACTGATTATTCGATACCTGCACGAACTTCCACATAACTTCGAGTTATTGGAAAACTCGAAACCCGTACCAGACATCGTTTGTCTCGAACTACTGATTATTCGATACCTGCACGAACTTCCACATAACTTCGAGTTATTTATGGCAACTAATAACCTGCTTTTGGTATTGATGTCAAGATATCGCTGCTGTTGATGTTAACGACGATAGTGTTGTTTTGATGACAACGATGACTATTGTTGTTGATGACGGCGATGGCACTGTTGTTGATGACGGCGATGACACTGCTATTGATATTTATGACAACGTTGACACTGCTTTTGATGACGATGATGACACGGCTTGAGTGAGTAAGTGAGTGAGTGACCATTAAATGAATCTAGATGCCGATATACGAGGAGGATCCTGGCAGGTAACGGGCGAATACTCTACACAGGAGTTCTGTTTAACGCCGCGAAAAAAACTAACTTATCACTTAGATGATGGGATGCAAGACGTATATGTAGCGACGAGTACGGGTTTGGACCTAACGAACAAAGAAGCGTAATCAGAGCAAAACATGGATTCGAACACCAAATCATCAGACTGGGCACAACACATGATAGTTATTCAGAGCCCTCGCAGTTTTCCGTTGTTTTAAAAAGTTGCGACTTCATATAAGCTGGCGTTTTCCCAAAGAAGAAAATAATAGCTTCACCGGACGCATTCGTGTAACATCTACCAAAATCAATGTGCCGTTCCCACCACGTCGCTACTTCGTCTTCCTGCCAGGAACGAGGTCACGGATGCCGCAGAAACATTAAGAGGATTTACTCAAGTTTTTGTCCGAAGAGGATTACTTATATAGAGGTCGGGATAATTACCTTCAGGTCCGAGACCTGACGGGATGTGCCGAAGTGTGCTGAATGTAACTCCAGTCTTGTGTATCTCGGTGCGACTAAATCTGAGCTCATACACAACTTGAAGGCCAGAGTGCATTTGACGAGGGTTAATTTACTATTTACCAGTCGATGATTGGATTTAAGTGTATTTTGAACCAGAATGCCGTTGTAAGTAGCTTACCTGAATGTAGTCTGGCTCGTTAATGGAATTGGCGAAAAGTGATGAGATTGGTTACTTTGGCAAGTTCTTGGGATGAGGTTTGAGTAGCGAGGATATCTTGAACTGAATCGTTGCGAGCTGGACATACCTGTGGCACTCACCTGACGGACAACCCACACATGTTACACTGGCATACCTGAAAGACATACCTGTCCATGTAGAGACATGAGTGGGCGAGCTGTCTAAGGCGCCGCGCTTGTAAGCGAAAGGTGCCTGGATCGATCCCCACTTGTGACCGGGTGTAAAAACCTTGGAGCTAATATTACTTGCAGGCTCTTTCAGTGTCGTCACAACCCCTAGCGTGCAGTACACAACCCCGTGCCTTTTAAAGAACCCACTCATCCGATGGTAGATGACCAGATGGTGGACACACGAACACGTGCAGACACCTAGTTGCGGGTAAAGTAACGTACAACAGCATTGGACAAAATACCGTGACTATGTGTCCCAGTCCACCCAGCTGCAAATGGATACCTCGTAAAGATGAGGCTGCGCCTAACAGGCTGCACGAGTTGAATACTCCCCACAGAGTTGAGTTGGTTATAAGAATGCCTTGAGCATGTACTAGTTGCGTGGATATGTGCGCTATATAAATATCCTATTATAATAATAATAATAATAATGTATCTAAATGAGAATCATCTGTCAGATACTCCTGACGGCCTTTCTGACAGACACTCCAGACACACATTCCTGACCGATATCAGAAAGACACTCCTTCTGGGGATTTCTCTTTGAAAAAGGGTTTCAGTCATTAGTTTAGAGACAGTTCAAAGGGATGGGGAACCAGTGAAAATGATATTGGTACTTACTTGGTGTTTAACTTATCCACTAATTTAATGAGAAGTCTTTTCAAAGTAGGATAGGGTAGATTTTAGGCGGATTCCGGTCTGGTCCTTTTGGATTGGGCTGCAACAAGTATCCCCTCCCCTACGACCCTCTCAACTACCCAAGAAGATTAATTGTGACTCTGGCGACTCGTCCAGTAGGTATCCATATCAGAGGACATGAGGCTAAAACAGCAAAGCAGACAGCACACCAGCCCTCTCAGACCACCGGCAAAGGTTTCCTGGTCATCCAATTCAGAATGACAAAGTTCAACTCCTCTGAACCAAACCTCTGAAGGTATAGAAATCTGTCGTGGTCAACTGAGATCAATGGTCCACATCAAGTCTGTTTGTGAAGATCTAATCAAGCAATAGAATTTTTCAATTAGTAACCAATCAGTTTGTTTCATCCCTTTAATCCTTACGCTTACTTTAATCCCACGTCAGTGCCTGTATGTGCTATTTGTCATTCTGACTGTACTTCTGGCTTCATCCAATTATCTGTGTACTTCTTGTTACACTTTTCCTGCTTTTGTTAACGTTAACCTTCTGCTTGTTACAACATAAAATGCATATTTTTGTTGAAGTCACTCCAGTTGGATGAGGGTGTGTAAAATCTACATCGAAAATGTTGCCAACTGTGATAAACCAGAATTGTTATTCTTATCTATTTACCACCTTCACGAATGCCAATCAGTTAGTTACACGTTACCTGTGTTACGTATGTTGTTGAATTAGCTGTATTACCCGTGTTACGTGAGTTTACATATTACCCGTGTTACGTGAGTTTATATATTACCTGTGTTACGTGAATGTATATATTACCCGTGTTACGTGAGTTTATATATTGCCTGTGTTACGTGAGTTTATATATTACCTGTGTTACGTGAGTTTTTATATTACCTGTGTTACGTGAGTTTATATATTGCCTGGGTTACGTGAGTTTATATATTGCCTGTGTTACGTGAGTTTATATATTACCTGTGTTACGTGAGTTTTTATATTACCTGTGTTACGTGAGTTCAAATAATACCCGTGTTACGTGAGTTCAAATATTACCTGTGTTACGTGAATTTATATATTCTATTACCTGTGTTACGTGAGTTTATATATTATCCGTGTTACGTGAGTTCAAATATTGCCTGTGTTTCGTGAGTTTATATATTACCTGTTACGTGAATTGAAATATTACCCGTGTTACGTGGGTTTATATATTACCTGCGTCTGTGTGAAGAAGGCTGAGTAGGATAATGCCTCAAGGTTTTTCGTACGATATACACTCGCTATTTGTTCCCCCTCAGTTAGTTGAATATATCTTTTTTTTCACCCGATTCATCCGGAATCCACAGGCATCTGTCAGCAAGTTTTTATCAGGATTTAACAGTTTTCGCGAAAAACATTTCCCCGATGTATTAAAACCTGTAACAATATCAACACAAAACCTATACGAGGAGATCCTGCGTAAGGAGGGAACTCGATCTGCATTTTAACAGGTACCAGAAAGACAATCTGTATCGATTTTGCAACAGCTTTCTCCAAACAGGGGTACATGTATATCTGGTCGGACTTCAGGCACTGTCTGTGTGTTAGAGCTACTGGTAAATCACAGAACTTTGTTGTGGCCTGTTTGAAGTGTTTTTTGCGATTGTTGTCAGCCCAGTAACGTCTATAAGGTGTATAATGTTTGGGTAAAATCCAATAAAAAGGAAAGACTGTCTTTGTAAAGTAGAGATGCATAGGAATGGCAAGCTTAAAACTCGTATGACCTTTGTGAATATGTGAAGGTTGGTTAACATGTGAAGTTAACATAAAGTGAAGTTAACAACATGTTGGTTAACATGTGAAGGTTGGTTAACATGTGAAGAGTGAGGTGATGTGAAGGTTGGTTAACATGTGAGTGACATGTGAGTGAGTGAGTAAGTGAGTGAAGTGGATGTGATTGGTTAACATGTGAAACATGAGAAGATAAATGTCATTGTCATAAATGGGTCAATGTTCTCACTACTTTTGACTTATATTCTCACAACTGTGTCTATTTCCTAACCTCTGTTTAGTCTATATTTTCATCACTTTCATGTACATATTCTCGTGTGTCTGCATTCTCGCTACTGTTATGTTTGTATTCTCATGAATGTGTCTGTATTCTCACCGCTGTTGTGTCTTTTTTCTCACCGCTGTTGTGTCTGTATTCATATAAGGGGAGGTGGAATAGTCTAGTGGCTAAAGCGTTCGCTCGTCACGCCGAAAATCCGATTTCGATTCCCCACATGGGTACAATTTGTGAAGCCCATTTCTGGTCCGGTCGTTGTTCAGGGCGATGACCGAACCAGTTCGGGGACGATTTGCATCACAACCAACTGGATTCCCACTAGACATTATCCAAACCACTTCTCCTGCATCAAACACTACAATTTCCTTGTCAGCGTACACACGTGTACAATAACACAATAATGCTATCTCGAAGCTAAACCGCAGACGAAAACAGACCACGGATGTGTTCCCAATAAAATATGCTCTTTCCCAAATAACTCGCTCGGAGTTTAAACAGATGCTCTGGTGAATACGAGAGGTTGCATCTTCGGGAAGGAGGGAGGGAGGATGCCGGGTGGAACAAGGAGATGCATTACAGGGCAGGGCAGGGCAGGGCAGGGCAGGGCAGGGCAGGGCAGGGCAGGGCAGGGCAGGGCAGGGCAGGGCAGGGCAGGGCAGGGCAGGGCAGGGCAGGGCAACGCAGGGCAGGGCAAACAGGGCAGGGCAAACAGGACAGGGCAAGGGATTATGCATGGACGGTTTTGGGTGCCAGGGCACGGGTGTACTGGGCGGGGCAGCTTTAATTCTATTTATTTTATTTGTGGACGCCATAACCAATCGTCATGCGTCCCCAGCAGCGTTTAATCCGGCCTCGATTAACCTGCACGGGAGCAGCAATGCAGTATCTCAATTGTCATCGTTTGCCAACACATCAATTCTTCACGAGAGACGGTTAGCATCAGACATTCCTGACCACGAAGCAGTCAGGTATATGACTGATGTTGCTAGACGTGCTGGTCGGAAGTGCGGTTTAACGTATTAGTTCACAAGGAAATGTTTGCAGGGAGATTTTGAGGGAAAACGGTTGTTGGATCCCGTAAATTGTAAGATGAATGTTGTTGAAACAGGCATACATTCGTCATCAGGGATCAACTGACTTCATCATTGCTTTAAGTCCATCTCCAGCCATGTTGCAGAGTCGGGGCCGGGAAAACCAGTGATCGATAGTGTAAGCATCGATTCATATCACTTCTAGCTAGAAATTATTGTGAAGCATTCAGTTTGTTTGTGTTTCTGTGATGCATCTTCTGAATATTCCCATGAAATATTGAAAGATACATTCGTTCATGTTTTACGTGTCGATTTCTAAATGGAAATGCCATTTTAATCCAGAAATCAGTACGAAGATGAATTAAGGGTAACTTGACTTCAATTAACAATTGATTAGAATTAAGCTTGGTTTCCAAATGAATAGACATGTCTGCAAAGGAGCAACATTGGTACCAGCAGATGCTGTAAAAGTGGACAAGCCTCCCAACCAGGCTTCGGCTGGAACACGTGAAGATCCGGGTTAGAATTGATCTTCAGTAACCCATGCTTGTCGTTAGGGGCAACTAACGGGATCGGGGGTTCAGGCTCGCTGACTTGGTTGACACATGCCTTCGGTCCCAGTTGCGTAGATAGATGCTCATGCTGTTAATCACAGGATTGTCTGGTCGAGAATCGATTATATACAGACCACCGCCATGTAGCTGGAATATTGCTGACTTAATCAACAAACCAACAAAATCGGTTGGATATTCAAGGTGGAGCATTACGATGTTTACAGACTGCTGGTTTGGATGTAATGAGAGACTACCGAGGCAAACCAATGCACCAGTAAATATTCATATGGAAAGGCTCGGCTAGAGTCTAATATCCAGGCACATAAGTGTGGCTTTAGAAGCTTCCAGAGTCATATAGAGGCTTCCACGGCTCTCTACAGGCCTCTCAAACCTCTTGATACCCAGTCCAAATGTCGTAACTAGCACACCACACCCCGAACTGAATGTTAACAGACATAAGGTAAACCTATTACAATACTGTTCAACATCTAACACACTGGATACAGTTGGGTCAGCAGGCAGACAGTATTACGGAAGTAGCTGTCAGTGTGAAGATTACTGGCCTTACATGTAGACTCTATGAGATATTACAAGTAGACAGAATTATATTACAGGTAGTCATGTTGACATTATATATAGTAATGGTGATATAATAGGTAGACAGGTTAATACATTACGGGTAGACAGGTTCAAGTTATTATGTCCAGTTCACCCCGGTTCTCTATCAAGTTATTACAGCCAGTTCACAAACTGGTTTTCTGTCAAGTTATTACAACCAGCTGGCCGTTGTTCTCTGTCAAGTTATAAGAGCCAGTTTGCCCTGGTTCTCTGTCAAGTTGTTACTACCAGTTGGCCGTTGTTCTCTGTCACGTTATTAGAGCCAGTTTGCTCTGGTTCTCTGTCAAGTTGTTACAGCCAGTTTGCCACGGTTCTCTGTCAAGTTATTACAGCCAGTTTGCCCCGGTTCTCTGTCAAGTTGTTACAACCAGTTGGCCGTTGCTCTCTGTCAAGTTATTACAGCCAGTTTGCCCTGCTTCTCTGTTAAGTTATTACAGCCGGTTCGCACTGGTTCTCTGTCAAGTTATTACAGCCGGTTTGCCCCGGTTCTCTGTCAAGTTGTTACAACCAGTTGGCCGTTGTTCTCTGTCAAGTTATTACAGCCAGTTTGCCCTGCTTCTCTGTCAAGTTATTACAGCCGGTTCGCCCTGGTTCTCTGTTAAATTATTACAACCAGTTTGCCCTGGTTCTCTGTCGGAAGCCCTGCTCCAGCACCTCATGCCGAAAGGGTCGATGAAGAAGAATTTGGAATCTGTTTTTCAGGCTGTTCATCAGCTGTGTACGAAATGAGGAACACATGCAAACTAAAATCAAACTACTTTTTGGGTGAAATATACAGTGTACGGCTTATTTAAATGGCGTATTTTACATCAAGGTTCCAACAGTTCTCCTACAAAGTCCGCCTCCCAATCTTTCCTGTACATATGCAGTAATTAGCAATTGACGAGGAAATTGAAATTCTGTATAAGGGATGCGTGATAAAAAAGATACAGTCTCGTTTATAATAAAAAAGTGAGCTAGACAAATTCCTGTCAGTTCAATACCTTCTCCGAAAAGAAACATTGAGGTTGAATTCCAGGCACGTTCGATTAGATGCCGCGGTGTCACGGTTGTGCTTGAAGTAGGCAAAGCAGGCAAGTGTTCTGTCAAATTCGTGGCATATTCCATTTGGTCGGCGAATGGCCTGCTGTCTAATCATCTAATGTTTCCGGTGAGCAGATATATTATCTGACTCACGCGTTTAGGAGCTTATTCAGCAGAAACACCCAGTTACATAATGGACACAGTGACACGATGCGACATGGTTTGTTGGGGGTAATTATCACAACCTATAATATGTCCTTGGAATCATTTCTGAAAATCATTGTAAGTGAATACTATTTTACGCCGCTTTTAGCAATAATCCAGTAACATCACGGCGGGGAAATAGAAATGGACCTCACACATACCCAAGTTGGGAACAAGTCTTCACACCACCGTTGTATCTTTATTCTCATATATGTATTCTCACAGTTGCTGTGTCTATATTCTCACCGTTGTTGTCTCTATATCCATATAAATGTGTCTCTGTGCACATGTACACCACCGTTGTATCTTTATTCCAATAAATGCGTCTATATTCTCTCCACCGTTGTGTCCACAATCCCTCCATTGTTGTACATATATTCTAACAGACATGTCTAGATTCTCATCACTGCTGTCGATGTTCAGGGCGATGACCCAACCAGTTCGGGGACGATTTGCATCACAACCAACTGGATTCCCTCTGGACATTATCCAAACCACTTCTACTGCATCAAACACTACAATTTCATTGTCAGCGTACACACGTGTACAATAACACAATAACACAATAATCCTATCAAGAACCAAAACCGCAGACGAAAAGAGGCCACGGACGTGTTCCCAATAAAATATGCTCTTTCCCAAATAACTCGCTCGGAGTATAAACAGATGCTCTGGTGAATACGAGAGGTTGCATCACCGGGAGGGAGGGAGGGAGGATGCCGGTTGGAACAAGGAGATGCATCTCAGTTAGTCCTGTTTCAGAGTTCGTCCTGTGTGCCCTATATTGTATCGACACTTGTACATTGTAACAGTTTGGTTGGCTTGTTGTTTAAGGCTGCACACAGCAATATACCAGCTATATGGCGGCGGTCTGTAAATAATCGCGTCTGGATCAGACAGTCCAGTGATCAACAGCATGAGCATCGATCTACGCAGTTGGGATACGATGACATGTGTCAATTCAATCAAATCAGCGAGCCTGACCACCCGATCCCGTTAGTCGCCTCTGACGACAAGGATGGGTCCTGAAGATCAATTCTAACCCGGATCTTCACGAGTCTGTAACGATGTGAGTCGGTGAGGTACACAAGTGGATGAAGAATTCAGTGTCCTGAGTATTAAGTGCAAAGAGCATGGCTGTGGTCACTGTCTTAATAAACTAATAGTGGTAGTTGCTTTTTTGGTTTAAACATCCGATACTCATTCCTTCTTGTAAGAGCAAATCGGTGGGGTAGCCTAGTGGTCATAGTGGTCGCTCGTCACGCCGAAGATCCGGGATCATTTCTGAGTGCTGAACTCATTTCTAGTGTTTTCCGGCATGATATATCTGGAATATTTCTAAAAGCCAAAACTGGTGTTAAACCGTATTCGAGAGCACTTTTCCAACCTGGTGATTCTGGGTTTAAAATGGCCGCCAACAGCTTTTGCTGGTCGAAAGAGACGACTCTATTAATCGGACGGTGACCTGGTTAATAGTGTGACCGTCATCATGACCCGAAGGCGTGTATCATTGGTCGCAATATCAACCACTGGACTGGCTAGTCCGTAATCGATTATTTACGGGCCACCGTGATATATCTTTAATAGTACTGCGTTTTAGTACAACGCAATATTAGGGAGCCCATATCCGCATTAAATATATGAAAAAGACTGTCGCTCTCACTTTGTCTCCTTCCTCACTATCTTTCTGTGTTTTTCTGTTTCTCTCTGTCGCTGCCTGTCTCTCCCTCTCTGTCTTTGTCTCCTTCTACCTCCCCCTGCCTGTCCCTTTCTCTGTGTTTGTCTCTCTCTGTGTGTCTTTGTCTGTTTCTACCTCCCCCTGCCTGTCCTTTCTCTCTGTCTGTCTCTGTGTGTGTGTCTGTCTCTGTCTCGCTCCCCTCTCTCTGCCTGTCCTTCCCTCTCTGTCTTTGTCTGTTTCTACCTCCCCCTATCTGTCCCTTTCTCTCTTTCTGCCTCCCCCTACCTGTCCCTTTCTCTCTTTCTGCCTCCCCCTGTCTGTCCGATTCTTTCTGCCCGTCTCTCTCTGTCATTGTCTCTGACTCTCCCTCTCTCTGTCCTACTGTCTCTCTCTATATCTCCCTGTCATTGTCTCTGTCTATCTCGCTGTCAGTCTGTCTCTTCCTGTCTCTCCCTCCCTGCCTTTGTCTCCTTCTGCCTCCCCCCTGCCTGTCCCTCTCTCCCCGTGTCTCTCTCTGTGTCTTACTGCCTCTCTCTCTCTCTCCATGTCATTGTCTCTGCCTATCTTTCTGTCTCTCTCACTCTTTTCAAAGACGTCCCGTAAACGATGCACTGTCCATGTAGCTCTTCTATGACATACTACGATATATCGTAGTTATACACAGAAACACGCAGTACGATAGCCCCTACGATACCGTAATACTTACATCACTATTATATCTAAATCGCAAATGGAAGGTCAGTATTACACAATGTCCGTGTCAGTGGGAAATAATGGAGACATTACATCATCAATAAAACCCAACTGTGTTTTATTCGGTTTGAAGAATCAGTCATAAGGAGAAATGTGATGTTATTTCCACTCGTTACGTGCTGAATGGCGTGAAGTCATAAATATTTCGCTATCTCTGATTGATTTTATGCACAACTGCCTCCAACTGCGTCTCTTTTACGTTAGCATTTGATCGTGATCATCGTGTGTGGCTTGGAGTGGAGAAAAACACCACAGACAACCATCCTGTAGGTGCAGATAAAAGTTGGAATTAAAAATAAGTAGTAATTGGGTAGTGTTCCGGGCTGGTGGATGGTCGGGTTTGGTGGCGGGGCAGGGATGGGTTTGGTGACAGAGTAGTCCAGGGGTGGAATGGGATGGTTGATGGGTGGTGTCTTGTTTCAGGGCAGGGCAGGGCAGGGCAGGGCAGGGCAGGCAGGGCAGGGCAGGGCAGGACAGGGCAGGGCAGGGCAGGGCAAGGGATTATGTATGGACGGTTGTGGGTACCAGGGCAAGGGTGGACTTGGCAGGGCAGCTTTAATTCTGTTTATTTTATTAATGTATTCATTCTATTACGTTGTATCAATACATTTGATATATCATTTCAAGCATGATATTGAAATGGAATTATGAAAAGAAGTATCAAATTAGAAACCATTGAAGTCAAACTCCCGTGCAATTCGCATTTCCCACAACGAATGTATAACAGAAACACTTATCGATATCGCATTCTCCCGGCAATAATAAAAGCTCAGTAATAGGCTAGCGTAATCAGATCCATACACTGTGACCCTATCAGACTCAGGCTATCCACTCACGTATGGGCGCTCTAACCGCCTCGCATCTCAGGTCGTGGAATGAACACGGACAAGTGACTGATGCATGTGGACTGACGGTTTCCCAAATACCCCCCAAATTGAGTAATATGGACGCCATAACCAATCGTCATGCATCCCCAGCAGCGTTTAATCCGTCTTCAATTAACCTGCACGGAAGCAGCAATGCAGTAACTCAATTGTCATCGTTTGCCAACACATCAATTCTTCACATGAGACGATTAGCATCAGACATTCCTGGCCATGAACCAGTCAGGTATATGACTGATGTTGCTAGATGTCTCTGCTGGTCGGAAGTGCGGTTTAACGTATTAGTTCACAGGGATTTTGACGGAAAACGGTTGTTGGATCCTGTAAACTGAAAGATGAATCCTGTTGAGACAGGCATATATTGAAGATCAGGGATCAACTAACTTCATCATTGCTTTAAGTCCATCTCCAGACATGTTGTAGAGTCGGGGCCGGGAAAACCAGTGATCGATAGTGTAAGCATCGAAACATATCACTCCAAGCTAGAAATTATTGTGAAGCATTCAGTTTGTTTGTGTTTCTGTTATGTATCTTCTGAATATTCTCTTGAATACGTGCAACCTATTTTGAAAGATATATTTGTTGAAAAAAAATAATTTTTGAACAAAAATTAATTCAGCGTTAAACAAACCAACCAAAATCGGTTTGATATTCAAGGTGGAGCATTAGAATATTTGCATTACAAACAGCTGGCATTGATGTAATGAGAGATGAGGCAAGTCCATGCACCAGTATATATTTGTATGGAAAAGCTTGGCTAACGTCGAATATTCAGGCACAGACGTGTTGCTCTAGAGGCTTACGGGGTCCTGTAGATGCTTCCAGAGTGCTCTAGAGGCGTCCGGAGTCCTGTAGAGGCTTTAAGAGTCCTGTAGAGATTTCCAGAGTCCTGTAGAGGTTTCACAGTCCTGTAGAGGCTTCACAGTCTTGTACAGGCTTCCTGAGTCCTGTAGAGGCTTCCAGAGTCCTGTAGAGGCTTCATAATCCTGTAGAGACTTCCAGAGTCCTGCAGAGGCTTCACAGTCCTATAGAGACGTCCGGAGTCCTGTAGATACTTCGAGATTCCTGTAGAGGCTTCCAGAGTCCTGTAGAGGTTTCAGAGTCCTGTAGAGGTTTCACAGTCCTGTAGAGGCTTCACAGTCCTGTACAGGCTTCCTGAGTCCTGTAGAGGCTTCACAGTCCTGTAGAGGCTTCCAGAGTCCTGTAGAGGCTTCATAATCCTGTAGAGACTTCCAGAGTCCTGCAGAGGCTTCACAGTCCTATAGAGACGTCCGGAGTCCTGTAGATACTTCGAGATTCCTGTAGAGGCTTCCAGAGTCTTGTAGAGGCTTCACATTCCTATAGAGGCTTCCAGAGTCCTGTAGAGACTTCCAGATTCCTGTAGAGGCTTCCAGAGTCCTGTAGAGGCTTCCAGAGTGCTGTAGAAGCTTTCAGAGTCTCGTAGAGGCTTCCGGGGTCCTGTAGAGGCTTCCAGAGTATTCCAGAAACTTCCAAAGTCCTCTTGACGCCCAGTCTAAATGTCGTAACTAGCATACCACACCCTCAACTGAACGTTAACAGATATAAGGTAAGACTATAACAATACTGTTCAACATCTAACACACTGGATACAGTTGGTTTAACAGGTAAACAGTATAATGGAAGCAGCTGATAGCGTGAGATTATTGGCAGACGTAATGACATCACGCATTACACTGAAAACTATCAAATTCCAGGCTTGCTTCTTCAAGTAGACTTTGAAAAAGCCTTTGATACAGTTGATTGGAAATATATTGATAAAGTTTTTTTCAATTTTGGCCCAGTAATTAAAAAATGGATAAACATACTCTACAAAGATATAAAATCTTGTATCCTTGTGAATGGATTTGCGACTCATTTCTTTCCAATATCACGTGGCTGTCGACAAGGCGACCCATTATCACCATACATTTTCTTACTGTGTGTAGAAATCCTTGCCATTATGCTGAGAAATAACAAAAATATTAAGGGTGTAAGAATTGGAAATATTGAATATATTCTCTCACAATTTGCTGACGACACAACTATTATTCTGGATGGAACTGAAAAATCTTTATATAAAACAATATTTGAACTAACTTTCTTTGCTAGGTTTTCGGGACTTAAAGTTAACATTGGAAAAAGTAAAATTATATGGATTGGATCTAAAAAGAGATCAAAACATAAACTATGTAACAAATGGAATCTTGAATGGGTAAAGAGCTTTAATTTGCTTGGAATAGACTTGGATGTAGACGTTGATGTAATGGTAGAAAATAAATTATAATGATAAACTACAAAACATATTAAATTTAATGACAATCTGGTCACTCCGGACATTAACTCCATTGGGAAACACAATACTGAAATCACTTCTCTTGCCTAAATTGTACCATCTCTTCTCAATGTTACCTATATCCAACACAGAACATGACTCATCACTGTGCAGCTATTGTAATACTTCAAATGAAACCATTTGTCACCTTTTTGGGGATTGTAATTTGATAAATAGATTTTGGAAGAAAGTTGAAGAGTGGCTCATGTCTGATGCTGGAATAAGGATTAAGTTCACTCCACAAATCATTCTATTTGGATTAAAGGAAAATCGAAATTATACTTTAAATATAATTTTGCTTCTTACTAAACAGACACTTTTTCACAACCGAAAGTATGGAATAGTACCAGATCAAAAGAACATTTTTAGAATCTGCTGCCAATACTATCATGCCTCAAAATGTATTGCTTTTACAACCAGTTCATATGATAGATTTTAAAAAATTTGGTCATCGCTACACACTTTATCTGCCTCGTAATATATTACTTGCTTCGGACAACATGGAATGTAAGCAAAGACTTTGGACCAATAAGTAGACAGGTTGATAGGTTACGGGTTGACAGGTTAGGATCACCCTGGTTCTCAGTCAATTTATAATATCCAGCTGTTCACCCCTGGTACTCTGTCAAATTATTAGTCAGTTCCCCCTGGTTCTCTGTCAAGTTGTTACAACCAGTTCGTCCATGTTGTCTGTCTGAAGCCCTGCTCTAGCACCTCATGTCGAGGGGTCAATGACGAGGAATTTGGAATCTGTTTTTCAGGCTGTTCATCAGCTTTGTACAAAATGAGGAACACATGCAAACTAAAAACAAACTACTTTTGGGATGAAATATTCAGTCTACGGCCTATTTAAATGGCGTATTTTACATCAAGGTTCCAACAGTTCTCCTACAAAGCTGCCACCATCCAATCTTTCCGGTACATATGTAGTAATTAGCAATTGACGAGGAAATTGAAATTCTGTATAAGGGACGCGTGATAAAATAAGATACAGTCTAGTTTATAGCCGAAAAAACAGCTAGATAAATTCCTGTCAGTTCAATACCGTCTCCGAAAAGAAACATTGCGGTTGAATTCCAGGCACGTTCGATTAGATGCCACGGTGTCACGGTTGTGCTTGAAGTAGGCAAAGCCGGCAAGTGTTCCGTCAAATTCGTGGCATATTCCATTTGGTCGGCGAATGGCCTGCTGTCTAATCATCTAATGTTTCCGGTGAGCAGATATATTATCTGACTCACGCGTTTAGGAGCTTATTCAGCAGAAACACCCAGTTACATAATGGACACAGTGACACGATGCGACATGGTTTGTTGGGGGGTAATTATCACAACCTATAATATGTCCTTGGAATCATTTCTGAAAATCATTGTGAGTGAAAACTATTTTCGCCTCTTTTAGCAATAATCCAGTAACATCACGGCGGGGGAACCAGAAAGGACTTCACGCATACCAAAGTTGGAAATCAAACTCGGGTCTTCGGCGTGACGAGCGAACCGTTTAACCACTAGTCTCCAGTCTCCAGCTTCCAGCGCCCAGTCTCCAGCCTCTAGTTTCCAGCCTCCAGTCTCCATCCTCCATCCTCCATCCTCCAGTCTCCAGTCTCCAGCCTCGAGCCTCCAGCCTCCAATCTCCAATCTCCAGCCTCTAATCTCCAGTCTCTATCCTCCATCCTCCATCTCCCAGTCTCCAGCCTCCAGTATCCAGCTGTTGCTATAAACATTGATTAAGTATCTACTGCAATGAATAAAATGTTATTTTTTTATGTCAACCATTGGATCTGATGTCTACTGTATGTCGATCTACCATTTTACTAAAGTATTTATCCATGACATAAGCCTTTGACGCAAAACATGTATACATACCGTACACAAGTGACAAGGATATGAAAGTAAGTTAACGGAAACACTCTTTACCACTGGTGCAATGTTATGCAAACAAAAGATGAAGATGGAATCCTTTGATCAAGGTGATGTTGAAGAGAACGTTGTAAGAGATAAAAGGCCAATTGGTACAAAAGATTGCTTGCTGGTTACTGTTTGATGATATCGAAATTCAGAGGTGAGGTGAGGTGAGGTGAGGTGAGGTGAGGTGAAATTGGGGTTAACGTCGTGCTTGAGAATATTTCGCTCATATGACGACGTGCATGCGTGTGTATGTGCGGCTGCTTGTACTAGCCCAGACTGAAGCTGGTTTTATAGTGCTAACCCACTGAGATACCATGCCGCAGTGAAGCATGAATATCCCACTCAGACACATTATACTGACTCCGAGCCGACCAGTCCTTGTTGTACCCGTTAATGCCGAGCGCCAGGCAGGGACCAACAAGTACCATATTTTAACGTCTTTTGGTATGACGCGGTCGGGGATCGAACCCGCGACCTTCCGCTCTCCGGGCGTACACTCTAACCACTACTGTACGGTCCCAGACTGTAAGAGACATGACTGTATGGGTAAGTCGGTTCACACACACATTGGGAAGTCATCATCTTAAAAGCGAAGGGAAGTAATCGTCTAATAACCAAGAATATCAGGTGTTTAATAATTGTGCTGAATTTGTAACTGTGGATGTCAGTGTGTGCGTGCATGCACGTGGGTGCGTGCGTGTGTGTGTGTGTGTGTGTGTGTGTGTGTGAGTGTTTGTGTATATTATCGTGTGTATGTTCGTGTGCATGAATGTACATCTCCGTGTATATAAGCGTTTGCATGAGGACGTAGGTATGCCCGTGTGCGTGCTTGCTTGCGTGTTGAAGAGTGGGGTGGACAGGAGCGCACCCCCACGTCTTCAGAATTATGTGTTAACCTGTGTCCTGCTTGTGTTGTGTTCCCTCAGGCAGAGTCCATCTACTCACAGCGGCATCAGTGTGATGAAAGGACGGTTAACACACGTTCGTGTTACAGAAGCAGGTTAAATTAATATTCACTTACTAATGTTTATTTTTAAAACATCAATCAGTATAAATATAAGTGCTCGAACATGAAATAGAAAACTCCCGATCCACCGCGTCCTCTTAACTGTGTGAGCGGTACGAAAAATGCATGGGTGAGTGACTGAGTTGGGTTTGACTCCGCTTTTAGCAAAGTTCCAACAATATCACGGCGGGGGACACCAGAAATGGGCTTCACACATTGTACTCAGTCGGGAACCGAACCCGTGTCTTCGGCGTGACGAGCGGACGCTCTACCCACAAGACTACCAATAGTACATGGGAAACAGTGAAGTGATGTTATTTCAAGGGATGGCTATGGTAGTGGAAGCTGGTTAAGGATGATACAGAAGTGAAACTGACACATATTGAAGCATTCACAGCCTCTGTAATCCCCAACCCCACCCTGTGGATCCGGACTCCAGGTGATGAAGACAGGTGATGAAGCTAATTAACACCTGTACCTTTCAACGCCAGGCTCATGCCTCACACCAAAAAGAACTGATTATCTTAAATTGTTGCAGGTCTCTAATCAGCACCTGAACAAAATACGTCGATTTTATTAATAAGAGCGCTAATAAGAGACATGATGTCATTGCTGCATGCTCACCTGTATCAAGGCGAACACAGGTATGGTAATTAGGGAGTATTGTTCGATATTACAGGTGAGAAACCCAGAATAAATCGATGTTTCATGCACTCATGCTCTCGATGTGATATTCAAAGTAACATATGTGATACAGTAATAACTATAAATCCGCGTTGAAGACATATTATCTGACATTGTTTGGTCATTTCAACCCATGTGTGAGTGAGTCAGCGAGTGAGTGTGGTTTTACGCCCTTTTAGCAATATTCCAGCAATATCACGGCGAGGGATACCAGAAATGGGCTTTACACACTGTACCTATGTGGGGAATCGAGCCCGGGTGTTCGGCGTGATGGACCAACGCTTTATCCACTATCCCACCCCACCCCTCCCCTTTATGAGTGAGTTTGGTTCACTTATAAAGTATTTTAGCCATAACGGCATGTTTAAGGGAGGTAACTCTGTACAGCTAATTGCGGCGAAAGATATTTGATTGAAAGTGGTGAAGAGGTTCGGTCGATATCGAATGAGTAATTGAAGATGTAATTTTGCTTGTTGGTGATTATGGGCATTGAGTGGCCACAATGGCTTCCATATACAGTGGTGTATTCGCCTTAGGAGGTCTTGGCTTATCGTACACGACAGCATAATGCGCGACGTTATGGTATCCAACGTCATCTTACACAATGTTATCGCAGTCAACGTCATAGCAAGTAACGTCAAAACACATATGTCATCGTAAACAGCGTCATCGTCCACAATGTCATCGCATGCACCGTCATCGTACACAACGTCATAGCAAGTAACGTCAAAACACGTCATCGTAGACAGCGTCATCGTCCACAACGTCATCGCATGCAGCGTCAGCATCATCGTACACAACGTTATCATACAGAATGCCATTGCAAACAACGTCCTCGCACGCAGCATCGCACATGTATCGTCGACGTCATCGCACGAAATAGCAACGTCCACGACTCCGTTTATCTCCAGGCTTGTTTGTGGACAGATTACAACACATCTGCGCACTCATCCGATTTTTAATACAGTGAGTCAGTACAGCTTTATATTGACTCTTAACGCCGATTCTACGTGATAGAAATATTCTTAGCAAAGCTTGAGCAGTATATAATGAAACTGTCTGTAGGAGCTGCCCCTTTACTGTTTTTGCTATGCATCATTTGTGAAGTACTCTTTATACAAGGCGTGAAACCTTACACAAAAGCACCATCGATTCGACTCATGTCAAAACTGATAGGGGCTGTGGGGTAGCCTAGTGGTTAAAGCGTTAACTCGTCACGCCGAAGACCCGGGTTCGATTCCTTACATGGGTACAATGTGTGAAGCCCATTTCTGGTGTCCGCCGTGATGTTGCTGGAATATTGCTAACAGCGGCGTAAAACTAAACTCCCCCACTCAAAATTGATTTAGCACTAGTGCCTTAAACCATTTTAATATTAGTTTTTGTTAACAGGATCCAAACCTTCGATGTGGCAGGATGTGAAACTGTAAATCTTTGTCAGTAATAGCCCTTATCATATATCTAAAACGAATTAATATGGACACTGTTTTTAACGTGTAAGATACAATTTTTGTAAATTTATGTTAATTGATGACGTCGCTTTCACTTATCATGTCACTTAAAGATTTTTTAAGCGAGTATGCACTTCTACTAAGAAAACAAAATGGAGAGCAAAATAAGTGCCATACGCTTCGTTGGTTTTCTTCTCTATTTTGTCATTGTATGCATTGAATGTGAATATACCGTGTAAATTTATGTGAACAGGGCATTGCAGTTGTGGTAATAATTACCAATTTAACCAGAATACAATTATCAGAGTTTTCTATTTGGGGCAAAATATAGGCAGGATGTGTATGCCTTACGTGGAGATTGTGTATTTAACGCTCTGCAGGTGTTCTGAGGTATTGACATTTGTGTTTAATCAATGAATGGCCCTCTTTGCAGCATGCACTTACATCATGAATACTAACTTATGCAAACGGTAATGTATATCGTATTCTTCATGCAGGGAATTCCAAAATATACCGCTATGGTTTTGCGTGGGTGTGTCTGGATGCGCCGGTTTATTAAAACGAAATTTCTTAATCGCAATAATAGACCTTGAACGTTACTGTTACATTTAGCTGAGGCCTCTTAATACGACTTAATAACTTCGTTCCAGAGTTGACAATTTTGTATCGCATTATGTAACGGTAAAAGTGTTTTCTGCTCATGGGTTCTGTGATGGATGCAGAGCATTACTGTCAACGATGCTGGAGTGTCTTGATTCAGCTGGTGTAGGGGTTCCTTCTGGTGGCGGAACGTGTTCTACACGGGATAAATGACGTGTTCTATTTTTGCATAATGTGCGCATGTCTATCGAGATCAATTCTACCATGACGCCGTATGTAGTGGCCTTTTATACCAAACGTCATCTCTCATGACCTATTCTATCATGACACTGCCTATCAAGACCCATTCTACCATGACACTGCCTACCATGGCCCATTCTACCATGACACTGCCTACCATGGCTCATTCTACCATGACACTGTCTACCATGGCCCATTCTACCATGACACTGCCTACCATGGCTCATTCTACCATGACACTGCCTACCATGGCCCATTCTACCATGACACTGCCTACCATGGCCCATTCTACCATGACACTGCCTACCATGGCCCATTCTACCATGACACTGCCTACCATGGCTCATTCTACCATGACACTGCCTACCATGGCCCATTCTACCATGACACTGCCTATCATGACCCATTCTACCATGACACTGCCTACCATGGCCCATTCTACCATGACACTGCCTACCATGGCCCATTCTACCATGACACTGCCTACCATGGCCCATTCTACCATGACACTGCCTACCATGGCCCATTCTACCATGACACTGCCTACCATGACCCATTCTACCATGACACTGCCTACCATGGCTCATTCTACCATGACACTGCCTACCATGGCTCATTCTACCATGACACTGCCTACCATGGCCCATTCTACCATGACACTGCCTACCATGGCCCATTCTACCATGACACCGTTTTTCGTGACCCGTCTATCACGACATCGTCAATCATGACACTATCTATCATAACACTAGAAACCACGTCGTTCATGACACTCCGACTACCCAGTGACGACCTTATGTGTCACGATCTCATTCATTACGACCCAGTCGAACCCGACCCTACATATCACGACAACATCTACCACGACCCCGTCTGTCACAGCCCTATCACCACGCTATCTATAACGACCTAATCACGACCGTACTAACCACAGCCTATATATCACGACCCTCACAGCCCTGTAAATCACCATCCCATATTTCAAGATCTTGTCTAGCACATACTTTCATCAGGACTTTCTCTCTCACACACGAGACCCGTGAAGATCCGTGTTAGAACTGATCTTCACTAACCCATGCTTGTTGTAAGAGGCGACTAACGGGATCGGGGGCTCAGGCTCGCTGACACATGTCGTATCCCAATTACGCAGATTGATGCTCATGCTGTTGATCACTGGATTGTCTGGTCAGACTCAATTATTTACATAAAGCCGCCATATAGCTGGAATATTGCTGATTGCGGCGTAAAACTAAACTCACTCATTCACACACATGAAATCTGTCTTCTCTCGAACTTTACGACACTTTTTACCTTTTACTACACGAGTGACGCAGAAAGCTCCCAGATATTCACGACCTGAGTTAGTCTGAAAACTAGAACCAATTAATGTACAATTAATGTGATTGGGTATATCTGTATTGCACAACTGACTACGATGGTAGGCCCCCCAGCAAGATGTGACTAAAGGATCACTGTGATCACTTGATCCACTTTCATCCTTATACGATCGCCCCATGGTGTGGTGGAAAGAGCGTCTGCTTGGAGAGATTAAGGTTCGAACAGAGTACCTTAAAGATGGTACTTGTTGTTACCCAGCCTGGGTTGCCGCAGTGATAAAACAGACTGTTAGACACGACAACGACTGCGTATCATGCGAGGATCCATATCAGAACTGCGAAATGGTAACTCAATGCCAAGCTCTATCAAATTTAACAACTCGTTTAATCAAGGAAAAACACACTCGCACGCTAGCACGCACACACACACACGCAAACACAACGCATGCACGCGCGTGCGCACACATACACACGCAAACACACACGAGTTCATGCACATCAGTCAGAGAAACACAAGCGGAACCACTTACAGTAGAGGGTTGCACTTACCAGCAGTACATTTGTTGAATTAAAACATATTTACACATCAGCTGACGCAATCTTCGCGATTTATTCAATCAATAACACGAATCTATTTTTGATCCACACACCTGCCACAGATTGTATTACGTGTAAGCATCAAGCAGATGTAAAGCTTTGAATAGTCAGGTTCACTTCGACCAGATCATTTATATTGATATTTCATACGACTAGATAGCGAGTCTGCTAGCCTAAACAAACACTGCGAATTGCCTGTAAGTCTTCCAGCAGCACGTGTGTTACGTCCTGGGGATCTAGGCGTATATGTTCGTGGATGCAACTTCATCCAAAGTCTACAGCAGGAGGCATCAGCTGTCTAATCAACCCACCGCCACCTGTTGCAGTCAAACCCTGTCACCCGGTCACGTCAGTCCCGGGGGAGACGTCACCGGCACAGTTAGCGACAACACCTCCATCTCTCCCTCATGCCGTTATTGTTACCATTTATGAGTAGTACCATCACAATTAATTGTCGCGACATGCGCTCATCAAACAAGGGAGATAACTCTAATCGTCTGAAAGCAGCTGCCCGCTGTCAGATCAATAGCTATATTAATACGGGCGGCGCAACAATGTGAAGTGACGACTGGGATCGTACTACTTACTCTAACACAGAGCGGGTGAGAGGCAGGCTTGATGACTGTCTCACTGTTGGCGGGAATGATTGCCACAGCACGCCAACATCTTCTCACTCTTTCACAGCTTGACGGATAACTTTCTACCATGTGCTTTGACAGTTCTGAAGAAAACAAGCTCCAACCGTCTGGTATATTACCTAAGCGCGATATGCGTCGAAAGTTGCATCAACTCTGAATAACTTGACAGACAGCATCAGGTAAACCGAATAACTCGTGCCGTGGAATATTTTTCTGTCATCCGAGACTGAAATTATGTGATGTGATCAGTGTTCAGTAGCCACGGTGGTTTTCTGCACGCAATATGTCCATCCGTGCCCTCATCGACCCACGGTCCTTCGTTTGCAGTTGAAACTGTAGCGCAGTACAACGAAGTAACGCTTAGCCGGTGGACAATATTACCGTAACATGGCATGTGACTCGCAAACTGAATTAATGAACATCCACAGGTGAAAGAAGGTTCCGCGGCCCTCCTGCCTGGGACACTGAAGCTTCGGTCTTTAAAGGATTGATAAGTAAATGTAATTAATACCAAGCCAGCTGGAAATCAAGAGCTTAACTCAGACTGAGGAGCTTCGCGAAACTTCTTTTCCGCTCAATCCATAAAGGTGGCTGGAGGGAGGTAAACGCAATGGGCTTGTTTTTATGTGAAAGGGCAAAAGCCCAGGGCGACTGGCGGACAGTTGTAGCAGACGACCATTGATGTGTGTTTATGTGACGATGGGTCAGGCGACGTCGCCTCGACTAAGGTAGTTAGAGTCGTCCCTTAAAGAGATCGGCGGACAGGAAGCCGTACATGCTTACTCAGGATGTGGTCTGGTCATCGATGAGTGAGGATATTCTCAAGTGAGTGTCGTCTGCTGATGGTAGCAGTGTGGTGAGTGACGTCTGCGTTTTCAGTCTTCTGGTCCCCGTCGCGATAACAGAAGAAACTTCTCGTGTGTGGATTATGTTGAAGCGTCGACCACGATGTTGTGAGGCAGGAGTAGACATGGTCGTGTCGCTTCTGCTCCCTCCTAACACCTTGGAATACCCTTAATGTGGCGTCTACCTTTCCCGCCCATGCACTGGAGGGAGCAGACGCCACTATGAAGCACATAGACAAGTCACATGCGATGCTTCTCGAGAACTTACGGATTATATCGGAATATCGCAGAAAGTCCATCGCTGAAAATGCCAGGTAAGTTGCTTAGAATTACTAAGTCTTTCAGATCTATTACAACGACGCCTATCTCTACCCATCTCTAATGTGTTTGTTATTCTCACAAGAAGTCTCTGGGTGACCCAACATGGGATGGTAGAAGGGGGGGACCTCTTGCTCTTTTGGATGTCCAGAGTAGATATAACGAAATACTCTGCAATACGTCGAGACGGCGTCGTGAATATCTGGCCTTATCCCTTTACACAGAGCTGTTGACGACATCCTTCAGTGTTCATAGACTCCTAGATGTAGATGCCCATACAGGTAGTTACTCCTCAACCACAGACCGATTGTAAACTGACGTGAGTGACGAGAAAGATGTGTTTTGGGACGACGCCCGTCATTTAGGTTTCAGCGCGTCTGTTTAGCACTGAATATGTTCATAACGGTTTAAGAATGAAAACGCAAATGCTATTTCAGCTACGAGATCACTTGCAGCGGAATACCCCTGTTTGTTATTCACCAACGATACATGGTCCTGAGACAATTCTTGCTAATGTGTACTGTACATAGGTGCTGTTGGTAAGGAAGTAATGACTTATGTTTCGTAGAGGTATACAGTACAGTTTCTATTTTAGTGATCATATCTTATTGCCCTGGTAATTAAATCGTGATGATGATACCATTTGATTCCTTACAGGTTGATGATAAAAATGGAATTTAAATAAAACAGGTAGATGGTTTAATCTGACATTCTGCCATTACAGGTAGATAAAAGAATGACTTGGGTACATTACAGGTAATTTTAACATTTGGACGATACATGCTGATCATAATTATGACATTTGGTGATTACAGGTAGATTATTACATTGGCACTAGGACATTGCAGGTAGAGATCATGAATAGGACATTTGGTGATTACAGGTAGATTATTACATTGACATTATGACATTGCTGGTCGAGATCATGAATAGGACATTTGGTGATTACAGGAGATTATTACATTGACGTGCAGGGAATTGCAGGTAGATATCATAATTAGGACATCTGGCCAATACATGTTAATATATAATAATAACGGCATCTGTACTTATAGATCATATTAATTACATTAAGAAATACATACATGTTAATTATTTCATTACTGGTAGACAAGAAATAACCAAAAGTACATGACAGGTAAACAATCATATTTTAGTCCTTGTAGATATTCATAAAGCCGTTTTGTGCCTTTACTACTGGAGCCTTATTAAAACATATGGGTCAACGCGAGGAGACCGCTGTCTGGACTGCGAGTGTCCAGAATGGACAGCGAGGACACATCGGCTGTGTCCGTCATGGTCAGTTAATTGTAGCAACGTCATGCTCTTCAGCAGCGCCTTCATCTATTTTTAACGTCCCCGACTTCACAATTGTTCAAGGTCAAGGTCACTGTTATGAGTGTATTTATATAGTATTAGTCTATTCGTTATAAACCTCAGTGCGCTTTGCACAGCAGTATTTTCGATTTTAAATTTAACTCTGATAGGACGTCTCGTGGATATAGTTCTTTCAAGCTTTGGTCTAACAACGGGTTTCAAGGCTGACGGATGCCAAAATATATCATGAAATGTTCGTACATGGATGTGATATATGTTAATGGAAGTTACCTTGAATTAAGGTCTTGGTACCTAGAAGTGTATTGTAACCGTCTTGTTGGGACGTAGGATGATCCAAAAATATGTCCACGTCTTGTTACGTCATAGCGTCTCATATCGGTCCTCTGTTATACGATAACCCGCAATATGTTCATGTCTTGTTACGTCATAGCGTCTCACATCGGTCCTCTGTTATACGATAAAACGCAATATGTTCATGTCTTGTTACGTCATAGCGTCTCATATCGGTCCATTGTTATACGATAACCCGCAATATGTTCATGTCTTGTTACGTCATAGCGTCTCATATCGGTCCTATGTTATACGATAACCCGCAATATGTTCATGTCTTGTTACGTCATAGCGTCTCATATCGGTCCTATGTTATACGATAACCCGCAATATGTTCATGTCTTGTTACGTCGTAGAGTCTCATATCGGTCCTCTGTTATACGATAACCCGCAATATGTCCATGTCTTGTTACGTCATAGCGTCTCATATCGGTCCTCTGTTATACGATAACCCGCAATATGTCCATGTCTTGTTACGTCATAGCGTCTCACATCGGTCCTCTGTTATACGATAACCCGCAATATGTTCATGTCTTGTTACGTCATAGCGTCTCATATCGGTCCTCTGTTATACGATAACCCGCAATATGTTCATGTCTTGTTACGTCATAGCGTCTCATATCGGTCCTCCGTTATACGATAATCCGCAATATGTTCATGTCTTGTTACGTCATAGCGTTTCACATTCGTCTTCTTGGGACACACGATAACCCGAAATATATTCATGTCTTGTTACGTCATAGCGTGTCATTTCCGTCTTGCCAGGACACACGATAACCCGAAATATATTCATGTCTTGTTACGTCATAACGTCTCATATCGGTCCTCCGTTATACGATAATCCGCGATATGTTCATGTCTTGTTACGTCATAGCGTCTCATATCGGTACTCCGTTATAGGACAACCCGCAATATGTCCATCTTTTGTTACGTCATAGCGTGTCATATCGGTCCTCTGTTATACGATAACCCGCAATATGTATGTCCATGTCTTGTTACATGTCTTGTTACTTCATAGCGTCTCACATCGGTCCTCTGTTATACGATAACCCGCAATATGTTCATGTCTTGTTACGTCATAGCGTCTCATATCGGTCCTCTGTTATACGATAACCCGCAATATGTCCATGTCTTGTTACGTCATAGCGTTTCACATTCGTCTTCTTGGGACACACGATAACCCGAAATATATTCATGTCTTGTTACGTCATAGCGTGTCATTTCCGTCTTGCCAGGACACACGATAACCCGAAATATATTCATGTCTGGTTACGTCATAAAGTCTCATTTCCGCCTTGTCAGGACACACGATAACCCGAAATATATTCTTGTCTAGTAGCGTCATAACGTCGCATTTCCGTCTTGCCAGGACGTTTAATCGATTCTTTTGACGTTTAAAACAATTGCAAATCCTCCACACACATACACAAACCATTCCCAATGAGCGTCTCGTAAGAACTGTCTTGTGTCAACAGAATACGAATTTATATATGGGGCGGTAGGGTAGCCTAAGGGTTAAAGCGTTGGCTCTTCACGCCGAAGGCCCGGTTTCGATTCCCCGTATGGTTATAATGTGTGAAGCCCACTACTGGTGTCTCCTACCGTGATATTGCTGGAATATTGCTAAAAGCGGCACAAACCCCAACTCACTCACTCACTCATTCATTTATGTTTTATAGGCCACGTACTGAATATGGCATCATGGGAAAATGCCACCTTACAGTTTCAATCAAATATTCATTCGTTTACACCTCCGTGTGTGTGTCTCTTAACATTTTTGCTTTGCATGTCTAACTCGAATCATATATTCCGGCCTACGATATTTGACGTAGGTTTGACGTCTTTGAAAATTACCACCATTTGTCAATTTTGTGTCCGTTTCCTATAAATCATTCCTGTGAATCCAGGTTGAACGTTCAGTTCTGTGTGGTTATGACGTCACAAAACGTCGTGAAGAGGCGTCAAGTTGGGATTTCTGCATTTATCTGACATGTCGTCACGTAAATAGCATCCTACACAAGCGTTTAACATACTTTGTGTTTTGTTAGACGTGCTTGTGTTCTTAATAAAACATGCCTGCGGGTTTAGTGAGACACGCCTGTGTTTAGTGAGACACGCCTGTGTTTAGTGAGACACGCCTGTGTTTAGTGAGACACGCCTGTGTTTAGTAAGACACGCCTGTGTTTAGTGAGACACGCCTGTGTTTAGTAAGACACGCCTGTGTTTAGTAAGACATGCCTGTGAGGTAAGTTAGACATGCCTGTGTGTCAAGTAAAACCTGCTTGTATGTTTTCAGCAGACATACCCGTGAAATTGCGGGTTAGAATTGGTCTTCAGCAACCCTTGATTGTCTTAAGAAGCAGGATTGCTCGGTGGCTGAGGACACATGGCATCCTATCCCAATTTCGTAGGTCGATGCTCATGATGTTGATCACTAGATTGTCTGGTCCAGACTTGATTATTTACACACCACCACCATATAGCTGAAATATTGCTGAGTGCAGCGTAAATCAACAAACAAACAAGCTTAAGCAAATATAGAAAACCAGTGCAAAAAAACCAACCAGCCTTAACTATCCCCAGAAACAAATTCCGTTTTGTGTAAAGGGACAAATAGTCGTGAATATTATAGGGGTGGGTCACTAACGCCATTGACATGCATCAAGTGAGATATGCCAATATGTTATGTAAGACATGTCTGAACATGATAGAAAAGAACACACCTTAGTGTGGAAATTGAAATACAATGTGTATGAATGATCAAATGAGTGAGTGTCTTTTAGTCGCGTTTTTTTTTCAAACACAAACGCTTTAACCACCTTGGTGCCGTTGTACAAAACGATCTTAGCGCTAACTCCCATACCTTAACATTGACTAAGGTAGCCTTAGCGCTAGGGTTGTTTTGTACAACGACACCCTGGCTGGTCCACCGCCACCTGAGATCGAAATTGGCCGTCGTTCTGTGAAGCATTTGTCGATCTTTAGCCTGTGGACCTGTCCAGATGACCATCACATGCATCATTCATAGGAACTATCAGATATACAATAACTGGACGCCATATCAATATCTGGCGCACGCAGTATATATATTGCATATAGCGTGGCTGTGGAATATTGCTGGCACAGTCATCAAATGCATAGTCTCATATTTAAGCTGCAATTTTCACCTTGATGTATATAAAGGCGATTCATTCTGGAAAACTAACAGATCTCTGATTCAGGCGCTTTGTCAGTTGTATGAGAAATTACACCGAGCAAATACTCTGTGCGTGACGGTATTCATCGCCCTGGTGGTGACGTATAGATTTTGTAGACTTACATGTTAAAT